GCCTGTGTCCTCCCTCACATTCCCTCCTAAGGGGTGCTACACAGTCCAAACTAGAACCTAGCTCTTCCCACTGCCAGCTCAGAACCGCCCCACTCAGCCAAGGCACTGCCTCATGCACAAATCTGACCCAGGACAGCTAAAACAGGGCCTCTTACTCCCATCATTTTGTTAAAAAGCAAGTCAAAAGGCAAGTGTGCCAAGATCAGAAAACAAGCAATGTTCCTAAAAAATCCGTACCACTTACATTCACTCCTGACATCCCCATTTTTAAAAGAGAAAACATACATGCAAGTTGAGGCCTTTGGATAATTAAGCAAGACTGAAAATTATGCAAATGAAATACATTCAACTATGCAATGAATTTTAAATGACAGAACTACAGAAAACTTAATTGCTGTATTAGCATGCTATAAAAACACTAATCATAAATGTAAAACAAAGCTAGCATATGCTTAGACCCAAATCTTCTCAGTGGCAGAAAAGCCCAGAGGAGTTTTCTCCTCCCTTGGGGAGCCCCCCGGCCATCAAGGCACAACTTAAGTCCAAATCCCCTGAAAGCCAAAGAGGGTAGCACCGGAGGGGACTCAGCATTGCCCTTGCCGGGCTCACCTGCACGAATATTAAACACCGAACGATGGGCTGCTCCCCGGTTCTGCAATTCTTCACAAATCCAGAAAATGTGACTCTAATTTCATTTAGAGGAAAGGTCATTTGCCATTTGCAAGGACTTCCAATGGCTGATAACATCAACAACACCGCCATGGTATGGAGGCCGTCTGGGCCAATTCTTCATACTGGGAAATTAACACATTTCTCATCTTTTTTTTCAAAGTAATATTTCTTACTCATCAGTAGACTACAGCACCCATAACCCAAACCAAGTAACGCGGGCAGGGTAAGGAAGAGTCATGAAGGAACAAAAGAAAACAATCATTTTGCTAATCCTTGGAAACAGATCATGCATGCGCGCGCACACGCACACACACACGCGCACACACACACACTTTTTGCTAGACAGATGAAAAACGGGCCGTGCATTTGTAAATTCTGTACTCTCCTAGCGCTCCTCGGCATGCAGATTTCACCCAGTGTCCGTGGCCCGGCGACAAGGGAGACGCCTGCCTCTGGCAGAGAGGACGAGGCCACTAGTCAGGAGCTGAGCCACGGACCTTCCCAGTGAGGCCCACGTGTGGACTGTCCAGCTGCTTGTTCCCTATGAGGGAAAGTGAAGGAATCCACAGGAACTGGGGCCCTTGACGCCAGAAGAACAGAGCGCCACCAACCACTTCCAAAGACAACAGGGCCCACCGAACCGAACCAATCTTGCCTATGGAAGTATCTGCAAGTCCCACAGTGCCTCCCAAACAAAAGCCTTCTACGCTTATCTATCCGGTGACCCACCCCTGACAGATGTCCCCCTGCACCAGCCCCCCACCCACTCCGAGCAAGCCATGAGGCTCAGCAGCTAAGCCACAACCACCCCTCCCCTGGGGGCCTGGGAAATCCCCCGAGTTGATGCCCTCAGCCGGCCTTGCCCAGGCCACCACTCAGCTCAGGAAACAGCCCAGAACGCCATGGAAAGCCCTCCTTTGAAGGTGTGTACAGACTACAGAGCAAAGGGCCCAGAACACCCCTCGAGGCCCACCTTCTGCCTTCCCAGCATTGCGGATGGTGAGAGCGGTCCAGCTGTGCGCAGTGCAGGCACCTTCCCCGTTAGACTGAGAGCTCCCTGAGGGTAGGGGCTGAGCCTGGTCCAGAGCAGGTGCTTTATCAGACAACAGGGAGACAGAAAACAGGAGGAAGCAGGAGCCCGCCCCCTCCCACTGTGGCCACGCCTCCTCCTGGGTCTCCCTCACACTCCAGTCTGTCCATCCACCTCCTGAAGCACATGGCACTGCCCTCCTCAGGAGACCCCAGCGGCTCCCTCTTACCTCCAAGACCAGACCCTGCCGGGCCTCCCAAGTGCTCTCTGACCCCTGGGTCTAGCCGCTTCCTTAAATCCTCCCTCCTGCCAGGCGCCCAGCTCCCCCAGTGAGCCCCTCCCTCTGGCCGCCTTCTGCGCAGGGCAACTGACTGGCTGTCTGCCCCTTCGAGAGGGAGACCCTCGGCAGCAGGGAGCGTTTTTGCATTTCCTCACCTTCCCCAGCCTCAGCACACCGTGAGCACTTACAGCCTTGTTGACTGACCGATGACAGAAGCAGAAGCCAGCTAAGGCTGATACAGCAGACAGCCTGACGGAGAAAGGGGAGGGAGACACAGCCAGTGCTCCCGGACAGTTCAGGCCGGGTGAAGTCAGGGAAGGCTCCCCTGAAGAAGCATCACTGGATCCCGCCCTGCTCAGTGCAGACCACTGAGAGAAGCCTGGAGCAGGGCTGGCAGGAGCTGAGCAGGAGCGGGCAGCTTCTCTGAAGAGCAGCCCACCATCGAGCTCGGCACTGGCTGGCATGGGGTCCCCTCCTGAAAAAGGTGAGGGCTCACAGCTTCCTTTCCCCCCCTCTGCGGGGCTGCAGCACCATGCCAGGGTCTCAGAACAGGTGGCCAAGTCTTGGTGCCACAAGAAAGCTGAGGATGACGTGGGAAGCATCACCGTCTCCTCTACCTCCATCGTCCTCTCGTGGCTGTAATAACGCAGCGGCCAGCACCGCGGTCACCAGTTGGGAGGCAGCGATAAGAAATGTATCAAAGGGACTCTGTCCTCCTCCTCCTCCTTTGAAAGCCATAGGCCTCTGGAGAGTAAGCATTTCTAAGAGCCCTGGAGAGGGTTGATGAGAATCAAAGTGCCTGCCGGCCAAATGGGCTAGCCCTGACTCAGAAGAACTAGGCTCAATTCCCAGTGCAGACACTTCCTAGCCATGTGATGACAGGCGAGTGACAATCTTTGCGCCTCGGTTTCTTCATCTGTCCTTCACCAGCCATTGCCACACAGGTGGGCCCAGGGTCACAGCAACAGCGTTGGAGACGTGAGAAATGGGGGGAACAATGATGATACGTACAAAATGCTTCCTGCTCCTTTCTTTCTCAAGGCCCTGGCCCATCAGCACGCAGGCCACCCCATCCAGGAAGCGTTCCCGGATCCCCCCAGCCAGAAGAGCTCTCAGAGACCCCCGTGGTCTGCCACAACACTCTGCCTTTCTCAGGTCACCCACTTCTTCTACCCCTGCTCTTCCTGCCTGTCATCTCCCCGACTACAGATTAAGCTCAGTAAGAGCTACAGCTGGGCCTTGTGCCATCTTGTATCCATGGGCCCAACAGGATGCCTCGCACACACTGGGTTTGCTAAGAGAACACAGTGCCACCCTCAAAAACCTCTGAGCTAAGGAGTATGTGTACTGTTGATTTACAGGGGAGGACACTGAGGTTCAGACAGGACATAGAGCCTAGCTGAGGCCACCGAGCCAGCCAGAAGCAGAGCTGGGAGGCCGGTCGAGGGTCCCCAGATGTGTGTCTCTAGCTCTTTCAGGCCACATCACCCTGTCTGTGCACCAGGGCCCCCGCCTCCTGCCTTCCCCATCACTCCCCTCATCTGCTTGTGCTGGTGTTCCACCAGAAAGAAAATCAATGGCCCTCAATCCCCTGCCCATACTCACCCCCCCCGAAGTCACAGCCCCCCCAATCTTTCCATCAATCACATGGATGGCAGGGGTCAGCACATCTAAGGGGACGGTGACCGTAGGGGGCACAGAGCTGATAGAGACAGAATTTTGTAACATAATTAATGAAAGACACTCTATCCAGAAGGGCCACATTTTCAATAAATTGCAAATTGAAAGATGGTGTCCTAAAGGTATTTTAATCAAAACTTGGTGAAATTCAATCTGAGAACCACACGACTAACCAGCGCTACCCCCCCACCCCCCGCCAAGGCCACAAAAACCCGGCACAATGAGACGGTCTTAAAGGGGAAGGATGCTCTGATTAATTCACCATCTCTCCCTGAGCCCTGGCTCCAAACCCCCAATGAAGACGAAGGCACCTGCAGGGGCTGAGTTGTAATTGAAAGAGAATACTTAATCAATAGATTGTCACTGGTAAGAGCTGCATGGGGCTGGAGACCAGAAGGCCCAGGCTTCCCATTTTTTAGGAGATTTTTCCATGCTGGGGCATCAGAGTCCACCTGAAGAAAGCATTTGGTATACCCTGGTGACTTTCCTCTTTCAGAAAAAATAAAGCTGTCTGCACCTACCCTCAAATTCAGCCGCACCACAGTTTGCTGTGGCGAGCTCAGCACGGTAAACAGAGGTGACAATCTGCTGACCAAGTCCCTCTGGAGACAACCATGCCTCCATCTGAGGCCTCCAACTCGACTGGCCCACACAGAAAATAGCGACTGCTGTGAGGATGCCCTCATTGATTAGACAAAGACCCAGTCCTGGCCAGGACGGGCCCTCCCCATCTCGGGTGGTCAACATCCTTCTCTCATCTGCCCAACCTCTGTTCAGCAAGCCCTCCATTCTACCCATGCTGACGGTGTTCTCTCCTCCTCTGGTGCTAGCTGACCACTCTGCCTGCAGGCCTCCGTTGCTCCATCACACCTGCCCTTGCAGAGTACCGACTGACTCAGTGACAGACAGGATTTACCCTAAGAGACTACGGGGTCCTAGAGGGTAGAGGCTGTGTCCTTTTTCATCTCTGTATCCCTAAACCCTGGCACAGGGCCTACCCAATACATAGTAAACATTAAAAAAAAGTTTGTCGAGTTGAAATGAAGTAACCATCAGCAATCTCATGGTCGAGTTCTTATTCTACATTGGAATCTTTCTGTAACTGCTTCAAACATAATGCAAAATTTAGAGAAATAAAATCTGAAAAGACAGACACATGGATGTCATGAATTCTTAATAACTTCATTTTCTGACAGCCTCATCAAATCACTTTGAAATTGAGCAAAGAAAGGAAGCTGGTGTCTTGGCTGAAGGCAAAAGGCCTTTGATACCGTCACTGATAGGACCAGCGTCGACATGACCCTGAGGGCCACCCGCTGACCCCAAAGGGAGACTTACCGAAAGAAGTTTCCAGGTTATTGGACGGACTTGCTTGGGAATTCCAGACCAACTCAATTTTCTTAATTCCTCTGTTAAAATAAAAGGGTTGGGGGTAGTGGAGAGAGAAAGACAAAGACAGAGAGAGAGAGAGAGAGAGAGAGAGAGAGAGAGAGAGAGAGAGAGAGAGAGAGAGAGAGAGAGAGAGAGAGAGGGGGAAAAAAGGATTACTGGAGAACTTTTCCTGGGGTGGCTAATATCCCATGATCTGATCAGAACACAGCTGCTCCCCTAATTAAGCTCGAAAGGGCACAAATGACAATATCTGCAGATGCTGATATTTTTAGTCATTGACTGCGCAAAAACAAGTCACCTGACGCCATATCCAGTTATCACCGCCAAGGGTGCACATTTGGATTCTGAGTGGAGAGAGAAAAGTGTGGGAAAAACGTTCTGAGAGTCTAAGCTTTCCAAGAAGCTCCCAAGGGGAAGCCCTCCCGAGTGGCTGCTGGATGCCCACCACAGCAGGCATGCCACGCAGGGGGCAGGGCACTAGCGGGCCTCTTCAGAGGCTTTACCATCCAGTGAAACAAAGGGAGAACCAATATCTGGGAGAGGCTGCCTTTTAAACATGCAGATGCCGCTCATAACCCTTCTGACACCCCCTTGTTTCATATGCATCACAAATTCTCCATTCACTTCATGCATTCCCAACTAAGTCATAAAATGGCAGAGCTGAAATGGGCCTAGAAATCATCTGATCTAACCCAGTCATTTTCCAGAGAGGGAAACTGAGGTACAGAAGCATGAGGCTACAAGGGGCAGCTAGGTGGCACAGTGGATAGAGCTCTGGCCTTGGAGTCAGGAGGACCTGAGTTCAAATCTGACCTCAGACACTTGACACTTACTAGCTGTGTGACCCCGGGCAAGTCACTTAACCCTGATAGCCTCACCAAAAAAAAAAAAAAGTAAAAAACAAATAGAGGCATGGGGCTGGGGTCCAACATTCATCTGCCTCATGTTCCCTCAGGATATCCTACTGCCTGCTTACTGAGCTCCTCCTGCAACCCTCTCCTCTCCTTGACCTCTGAGCACAAACATGTCAGGAAGGAGGGCATCGGTTGGTACCAAGCAGGCATGGCTGATACGGAAGAGACGGAAATTAAATTCCAAAGGACTGACTTCGAGGTAGACTCAATCTAATCCACGGGGTTTAAAAAACACAGATATGTGAATAAATTTGTATGAAGGCTGAAAACGAAATAAAACATCAAGAGATCAGCTTGAGAATTAGGTCTCAAATAGGTCTGACTCATGGAACTGGAGAGGCATTCTAGGAAACAATATCGCTAACGCAATCTCATCCCAAATCACAGGCTTCAGAATAGGCGATGCCAAGAATCTCTGGAATACTCGTGAGATGAAAGTGCATATGAGTAATTTGGAGAAAATATTATAAAGGTGGTGGCACATGCCTATGACAACAAAGAGGTGATGGAGAATTAGAGTGACTAACTCAGTTACCTCCAGTGGCAGAGGGCAGGAAGAAGGCAAATAATGAAAGGCAGAGTCAGCGTAGAAATCTCATCTGAGCCAGCAGCTCTAATATTCTCTTACCCTGAAAGCTTTCTGCAGATGCATTAACAATGAACAGAACCAAGAAGGCCTCTTATGGAAAAAGAAAAGAAAAAAAGGCTCGTATGCTACTTCAAAAAGGAGGACGGAGAGAATTTTTTATTATGGAAAGCTGCCCAATGATACCAGCATTAAAATTTTATATCTAGAAATTAACACGTATACCTCATGCTACAATGAATACAAGTACATTATAATTAACACACTGTACAATATTAAACCATAAAACAAGCTAAAGGAGAAAACGAGGCCAGGACTCCACTTTCTCAGGACGAGGCTCGAGCCCTGGCCGCAGGCTCTGGCATTGAGCCGCTGCTCTACAGAGCGGTGACTCACGGCCCCAGAAGGGCCACTCTGTACAAACACAGCCCTGCCGGGCCATGTCCCCAAACCAAGCCCCAAGGGGCTTGCGGGAACAAGAGCACAACAAGACCTTATCACGCCCCCTAACACCCAGTCAGCCAGTAAGCATCGATTAAGCACCTACTAGGTGCCAGGGACTGTACTGGGATACAAAAGAAGGCAAAAGACAGGGCCTCCCCTAAAGGAGTAATGGGTGAGACCACAGCCTGGCACAGAGGGAAGGCACCAGCAGTCTAGGGGGATGGGAAAGGCTTCCTGAAGAAGATGGTGTTGGCAGGGCCTGGAAGGCCGCCAGGAGGCAGAGATGAAGAGGGAGGCTCTCCCAGGCAGGGGGACAGACAGCCCAAGGAAGCGGCCTTGCACTTCTCAGGAGGCCACACTGACACAGCAGGATGCAGGAGGAGCCAGAGGCCTCAGGGATCTCAGGTAGTCCCCTGACATGTGAGCCTCAGTTTCTCCAGGTGCAAAACAAGTAGGCTGGATCAGATGATCTCTCGGGCTTTTCCAGCAACCGTGCTGTGACCCTGTGGCACTGCTGCCTCCACCGGCACCCTCAGGCTGACAAATTACTCCTCCTGGAGCTGATAAAACAAGGTGGCTCTCAGCAAGCAGCTGTGAGGCCAAGTCACAACACCCGTGGAGCAGAGAATAGACGCCCACATGATGGTGAGGAGAGAGCGGGACACCCAAGCGAATGTCAGAAAACATGAGCAGTCTTCTCTGGGAAAGTCTTCTGGTGACACAAGCTGGGAATGCCAGCGGGGTTCCCGGCCCCCACAGCCCAGACCTCCTCGTGTGGAGCGTGAGGAGCACCAAAGACCCTGGATCACAGAGCTGACACTGACACGAGCCTGACAAGCCGAGGCTCCCCAGCCCCCAAGAAAGCCTGAAGGCCAATGGAAACACAACCAACGAGAGACGTCACCACCTTGTTCTGCCGAGCAGCCACAGGCTCGCCGCACCAGCCAAACACTGATGGATGGCGAGACACAGGCGAAGGGTCCCAAGAGGAGGGCCCGAGAGCGGGCACCCAACCAGCAAGCCCCATGCAAGCACGCAACCTGGGCCACACTCTTGTCAGCACAGCCTGGCGTTGGCCCCGCCGAGCAGTTTGGAAGGCTCATTGCCACGCCGCATGTGAAGTGCCAGCTGTTCTACAGGGCAGAGAGGGCAGCTCTGGGAGCCTGCCTGTCTAGTGGCTTACCGTGGTGGCCTCCCTTCACGGTGCCCCTATAATCGATGGCCCTGGCGTGGGGTGGTGCGATAGAAGAAGCCCAGGTCTAGTCTCAGAAGACATGGGCTCAATCCTTTCTCTGCTTCCCCCAGCATAGATCTAAGTCTTGATTTAGATGACCAGACCACCCTGGAGGGATTCTGGCTCTCACTTCCCTACTGCCCTGGGACGCTGACATCACCCTAGAATTCTGCCCAAGGACCAGGGAGGGACAGAAGCTCTTTAACTGACGGCTTCCCTTTGTGCTCCCATGTGTGTTCCCTGCCTAGACCATCTCCTGTCTGAAATTCAAACAAAACTCAGCTGTGGGTAAGGGGGAAAAAAGAAAAGCTCACGGAAAGAACAATAAGCAAAATAAACGCCCCATCTGACTCCAAGCGCCTTCGGCTGCACTCGAGATTACTGGCTGCCCAGCCCGGCTGACACCGCGTGCCTCTTCTAAGAGGGAGAGAAGCCTTGCTGTTGAGATCTCTTCCTACGGTTCATATCATTCCAACACTTTAAATTTGTAGTAATGAGAGTGACAATTTCCACACACAATAAGAAAAGGCTCGTTTCATCACAAGCGGCAGCCAGCGGCCAAAGAATTCATTCCACTTTCGTTGGTGAACAAATATTCCCCATTCCCACTACAAATGAAGCAATTATTTTTTCCTTTAAGTTTTTAGACATCCAGCGTTAGGGTCCTTTGCAAACAGCTGAGACCTAATGATTAATACCGGGAATAAAAGAAATGATTAAAGAGAGGGCCTTAGTAATATAATCACCAAAATGTGAAGTCTTGCCATCTAATCTTTTTCAAATTACTAAGTCTAAGTAAAATAAGCACCAAATAATTGGGTGATGGCACCAGCAATAACTTGCAGTTTACAGCCGTGGCTGGAAATATCAAATTCTCAACAGTTCCCTGAGGACGTTATGAAAATCAGAAGCCTGATATGTGAGCACCAATAATAGAACGTTTCCCAATCACATTCTTCGTCGCCTTCCGTTCATGAAGAAGACAGAATAAACTCCCCTTGTTAAAGTTACATGAACACAGGCCCCACAGAGGAAAAGCCATTTGGAGACTGGAAGAAGCATCGGCCTCCGAGAGGGGAGGGACCTGGGCAATCCTGGAGGCCAAGCCCCGCCTCTTATAGAAAGGCAACCAGAGACCCCAGGGTCCTCTGACCCCCCCACACCCCAACATGACGTAGGGCCTCATGACCTTGACCCCTCACTTTGCCAAGTACCTCATTCTCTTTGGATCCCCACAGCCACACAATCCATTGCCTCAGAGCACCCTGCATGGAAGAGCACCCAGAGCGTCACCAGTAACAGAGAAAGTTTGTGGCCTTTGAAGAATGTGCCCCAGTGTGAGCTCTGCTGGCATGGCCTCCCAGACCCCAGGCTCATCTCCACAGCAGGGTCAGACCAGCAATGTGAGCAGGAGGCGGCTGCGGCCTGGAGGAAGATCTACAACTTAAAGGCTTCAATGACGCTCCAGGGAAGGTTCCCAACACCCCAGGCCCATCCTTTCTGGAGGGTTGACAGAGGACGAGGTCAAAGGGAGCGCCAGCCCATAGACGAGCCCCCAGGCCACCAAATCCAGTGCTCGGCTCACAGGGCAAGACTGCTTTCTTTGATGGCTTCTTTCTCTTCCTACACAGCTTCTTCCCATTTCCCCTAAAGCATCTCACCTTCTTTCTTTTACTTTACCTTCTTCCTATACGCAGTGCAAAATGAAGCGAGAAGAACTGGGAGGTCAGCGCACAGTAACAGCAGTATTGTAATGACGACAAACTCTGAAAGATTTGACTACTCTGATCAACACAATGATCCAAGCCAGTTCCAAAGGACTCATGATGAAAAATGTTC